GTTTATTCTACATCAATTACTCTTAATTCTTACATTCTTCGTATGTCTCTCGTTTACCGCCCTTTTTTCGCCTGATACTGGTGTATATAATGCATATGGACTGAGAGTAGCTGCTAATAATATGATTTTTGTTAGAGCTGATAATGTATTTAGGTATGTCAGTATTAACTTTCCGAATTACACTGATGGTGTCCCTACGATCAATGGACTCCACTGTGTCTTTTATTACCCAGAGCCTTGGTATATTTATGCCGTGGCTCTAGGTAAAAATCAATCGACATATAGCTTTTTCTTCGTTGGTGAAATGAAGGATTGGGAGAAAGAACATCAATTAAAAAATCGTACATTTGTTGGTTTTCTCAATTACACCGGTTATCTGCATGAAATTGATTGCGAACGTAAAGTTGTAAAGTACACATATGTGCAAGACGCGTTTCGTCATCAAGAAAACTTGGTGATGACAACTGACGCCCTTGGTTTGGTTGCCTACGGATTCTCTGTGCTCTTCAATTTTTATTATACAGCATCTTCGAATGATGTGAAAATTCGAAAGATATCGTCATTGATTTTACCATTCCTACCGTATGCTGTTGATTTTGGTGATAGTCGTGGTATTATTGCTGGTTTTAGGGAAAATTCGGATTGGCGATCACGTATGTAGAAGTCAATAAAAACATAGGAACATATCATTCCCTCAATCTCAAGTTCTCTGTTCTCTTTTTGTATTTTAATAGGTTTCCGTTACTTAGTAACTGTTTGCCTGTTTAGTGTTAATGCATCAACACACATAGTTAGGTATAATGGCGAGTGGCAGTATCCAACAGATGGTAGTGCATGGCAAGCTAGACTACACTATAAAAATATTGATAAATATAATTCTGACTACGCCTTCTCTGTCAGTATCAACTCGAGAGCTAGACAAGCCATTGTCGGCATTCAGCCGATGAATACAGTTTTTCTCTTCAGCTACACAAATACAATACTGACATTGGTTACTTCAATAGATAACGGTCGAGGCACTGGTTTCGGCAAAGGTGTTGCCTGGCTCGGTGATACACTCAACAGTATTGCTGTTCTGGTTAACAATTATTCGACAAGCTCCGATGAGTCTTCTTCGAAAGTCTATTTCTATGACAGTCCATTGACGAATACCTCGCGCCCCATCTCAATTTTTCCCAACTATGAACAACCATTTGATACTTACTTCTCTTCTACTTTAATGAATATCATTACAACCCCAAGTCACTTAGTCCTCCTTTATGACAACGACTGTCTCTTTTTTATTCTCTCAGCTTCCAGTGGTTATTATTCCTCAACCATTGTACCATATGGTTCAGTCTTGATCGCATTCTCCTCTCAACAGCCATGTATGCCCGGTACTTATAAGAATGTAACAGGTATTGGTCGGTGTTCACTCTGTCCACCAGGAACTAAAAATGATGGAATAAATGTTGCAGCAACAACCTGTGTTGCTTGTGCTGCGAACACACTCTGTCCTCTTGGTTCTGAAAGTGATTCTATCTCGAATGACGAAATCAGCGACGTCATCCAAGCAGTTGACTACCCACACTCACCAGATATTACTGGACTTGATGATATTCTGTTTTTCTCACTGTTTTCAATTGGTTCATCTGCACGTTGTGTTGCTCTTTCACCAATGTTTTGGACCTTGATCGTTGCTGCTATTGTAGTTCTCATCGCAAGTATCATGCTTGTGATTAGGCACTGTGTAGAAAATCAAAAAGCTGTAAATAGTTATAAACTATGTGAGAAAATATTTAAACAAACAGATCTCATTCGTGAAGGTAATCTATGGGTTGGCGGCCTTGCTACATTTTGTGTCCTGGTACTCTGCATTTCTTGCTGTGTATTCAGTGCTGAGTATTACAAATCTTATCCAATTGAAGCAGTTGGACCATCGTCATACGCATGTGATACGAGTATACGAAATTCACAGTTTTCTTCATCTTTACGGGCTTCTTTGATGCCACCTGCTGAAAATATTCGAGACTTGATGGTCTTGTTCAACAATCAAGAATTCAATCTGACTTTTTCGTTTCTCAATACACTGTACAATTGCACATCACCGGGACCTATAGTGGAGTATTTCTTAAGTTCAATATGGAGACCACTAACGCCAAATATTTATTGTTATCCGTCAATCTATGTAGTTTCCATTAGTAATCGCCAGTTGTCTAAATCCAGTGCTGTACGATTAATCTTACCAAACACAAATAGAATTGGTGGACTTCGTATAAGTCTGAGTGCTCCAGATAAAAATCAATCTTCAACAATAATGCTTCGAGCTCCATATTTTTCAAGCACATTCTATGTAAGTGAACATATGCTTGGAACAGACGCCTATATTACTCTTGAACTGACAAAAGTAATCAATCTTACAAATCCACTTGTAAGTGGTGATGATGAAGTACTAAGTGGAATTTGGATTGGTTCTTTTTCGATAAACTACGAGGATTCATTCATCACAGAAACTGATTATCTAGGTACAACATCTACAACGTCCAGAAGTTTGACATTAACAGTAACTGAAACACCCTATTATATACTAAATGAGCAGTCACCAATTGCTAGATTACCTGAAATAGTTTATCATGATTTCCTTTTTATAACAATGATTGTTGGAATGTTTGTGCTTCTATTTGTTATCGTTGAGGTAATGTTTTTACCGTTTTTACACTTTTTAATTCGTAAGTGTAAACGAAATCCTGATGATAAATATCGAACAGATAGTAACCGTCAGTCAGTTTCTAATCACAATGATGCAGAAAATTCGATTTATCACTCAAACGGACAACAATCCAGTAGACACACGCACAATTTTGATATGATTAATAATGTTGCTTCCCCTCCAAGACCGAAATACATTTCAGATCAACATGTTAATCCATCTGACAATGATACTCAGCAGTCACCGACACTTTGGAATCGTCAAACACACTTTTGATAGTTTTCGAGTTAGGACTGATAACAATACAATAATCAAAGAACTTATCACAGAACAACAAGACAGGATTGTATTATGCTTAGAGATGCGACATTATCATTCCTTTTTATCATTATTGCTCTATAATTCATAAAAAATTTTCATTAGTTTTACCTATAAGATGTTTTAATTATCCTTGCTTTATTTTTTTATTAGCAAACTATGAAGTAGTTTTCCTTAACTTTATTAATAAATACTTTTTTTATTCTGGCACTTTTTTCACTTAGTATGTTCTAATAAAAATTAATCAAGGATTTATACAGGAGCGAGTAATTAATCATTACTGCAGTAAACTAGAAACAAAACAATAACTACTATATGGCATAGATACAAAGGACAGGTGAGTCATCAGTGCATAAATATTGTTTTGTGAATTCTCTAAGAAATACTGAATACATAAAAATACCAATCTGACAGAACATGATATTCAATTGCAGCTTGTCGTGTTCATTTTAATCTTTGTTATGATGCCAATTACGATCTTTCTTATCGTTTATTAATCTATGTAATAGGGTGGTATTACAATGTAATGATGCGATTAACATGTGAAGTCAGATTTTTCGAATACTGTGGGTATGGGTGTGGGTTTAAGTTACTACGATAATCCTAGGAATATTTCGAATGTTTCTAACTCAATCTTATCAAGTGGCCTCAGTACCAGTTGTATGTGAAGGTGTGGGTGTGGGTGTGATGGGAGGGAGGAGTGTGGATGTATGGGGTGTGCGTGTGGGTTTTGTTCTTATCTTCCCCCACACCCACCCATACTCGAGACAGACGTGTCACTTTTTGAACAACTTCGATTCTAAACAAATTTCTCTTATTCTAAATATCGTTTGTTTTCTTTGTGCAGATCTTCGACATCTAAATTTTTCATGACCAACAAAACTACTATTTTTTCGCAACAAAAATTAAGAATTTGAGTATCTAAACGGACTCGAGAAAATAAAGGACCCATCAGTTTTTCATGTTTCTCTTTTTGTTGTAGTGGTATAGAAATTTTGATTACAATGTCCTAGCCTTAATTCAACATCTAATTATGTTTTAATTTCGTAAAGATGTAATCGTGTCCTATTTTTAGTCGTCGTTACATATCGGCAAAAAAGAATGACAGCTATTAAATATAGAGACTTTTAAAATTTTTTCAAGTGTATTTGTAGTTTCGGGATAATTTAAATTTTTTGGGTGTGGGTGTGGGTGTGTATAGTTACCACAATGACCATAGGTATTTCGATCTTACTAACTCAACCTTATCAAGTGGCAGAAAGGAATATTAGAAAAGTTTCGAAAAGAGAAAAATTTTTGTATGTTTTCTTTGTGAGTATAAGTATATTTTTAGTTGAGTTTCATTCTGCTGATGAAATTGGAGCGGAGGAATTTTTTCATCTAATTTGTATCGGACAATAGCATTTCGGTTGTGGTCTGTTAATGGTAATTCGATGGAAAAATGACTGCTTTTGGGAAATAAGAATAGAAGAAGGAAAAGTGTTATGACGTTAAATTTTGTTTAAGTGGGAAAGTTTGTTTTATAGTTTTGTTTGTTTTGGATGTTTGATGTTTCAATGTTTCTATGTGTAATGCATCCGGAATAGGGGAACTTTTGCTTGTGTCATAATGAGGAATTTTTGAAAGTAAATCGGAAGTAAAAATTCAACAGATCTTACGAACATATTTGCCATTAGTTGGTTTTATTGTTAGAATCAGTTTGTATTATCGTGGTAGAATTGATTTTGTTGCTGTTGTGTATGTTGACAGAACGATCTGGTGTTGGTTGTATGTTAAAATTGAAAAATGTGTGTTGATTGTTTCGAATGATCAGATGTGAATATGATCTGAAATAACAAGAAGTGAATTTCATCATTTGAAATGTTTTATATGTCCGTTTTTATCAGTAAGTATGTATTTATTTTAAAAATTAAATGTTTTATAATAGTACAGTGTTCTATGACTAAATACAATAGAAAGGTTTTTTATAGAATGTTTTTGTTTTTGTGGATATTTAATGGTTCATGAGTGGAGATTGCTTTTGATTGAATGTCACGAGTAGTTTTTGTTGAATGTCATATTGTGCACGTTGTATCATATTGTTTTCTCGATCGACAATTGTGGTCATGATTTTGTCGAAGAATGAACGATTTTTATGATTAGATCTTGTCTGTAGTAGGTTGTTTTTTTCTTGAATAGCTTTTTGTGCATAAGTTTGTACTATTTCTTCGGCTTTAGCCAAAGTCTGAACACCTAAATCATAGGTTGATATTTGTCGTGTTCGAAAAACTAATTGTGTGAATATATGATTTATATTTGGTAATTGAAGATCCTGAAGAGTATATGATGTTGGTAGAATTAGAAATGGTAACCACTTGTTAAACATAGCCATTTCAAATCGGATTGCTTGTTCATCATGAATAGCTTTCCATATTATTTTTGCTGAATGAATCTAGAGACACATATGAATAGATCAGATATTATTGAATGATACATTTACTAACCGTGGTTTTTCTTGGCTTTAATTGATAAAAATTGTGTACTAATTGATGTTCTTTGGCATCGAATTGGAGCATAGTTTTTCGTCTTTCCAGTTCAATACGTAAATGATATTGATCTTTATGAATGAGATTATTTATAATATTCAATATTTGAGTCATATCAATAAGTGCAGGTACTTGTTTCATATGTTCATTAATATCATTTTGGTTCTGTTCAAATTGTTGTTTATATTTCTGTTGACGTTGTTGAATTAACATTTTTGATCGACCATATGTTTGGCACATTGAATTAGCATCGGCCATATTTTTCGATACACGTCCATTCCAAATGCCTTCTGTATTGCCGAGATGGTAATAGTAAGACCATTGTTCATGTTGTAATTTGGAATAATTTACTTTTTTGACAAGTTGAGTCAGTTGACGAATGTATAAGAATATGTCTTCCTTATTCAACAATTCATTTAAAGCATCTTTACTAATATCGTCTGATGTTGATGCTAATAACATTTCTTTAAACTTGATGTTAGATATTGTCAAATAATCAGTTAACAATAGTGTTGGATCAGTACTTGTGGTCATATCTAAAAGATTTGATGTCTTTTTCATTGGCGATTGTTGTGATACAGATAAATTTTTAAATTGTACACTTGGTAAAGTACATGGCAACTGAATGGGATGATTGTCGGATACTTTTTTCGTTCGCATCGGTAATCGACACTGCTTCTTTTTGAAATGCTGTGCTTTTCGAGTATGTTGACTTTGTTTCAATTTCTTTTTCTTTGTATATTGCTGATGCTTTCGTTGAGATTTATTAATATTCAGGATTGGTATAAATTATTTAAAATATCTGAAATGAAAATAAACAATATAGATCTGTTTATAGAAATAGAACAAATACAGAAAATGAAAAAAACAACATGAAGAATATACAAATATTTTATTGTACAAATGAAATGAAAAGTTTTTCTAGATAGCTTAACAATATTCATTAGTCTTTGTTGCTGTTGCCAATAGTTTAATTTCGTTTTGGTTCTAAGAGAAAATTAAAAAAAAACAGTGTAGAATTCGATAAAAGTTCATCATAGCTTACTTTTTTCTAATGGGCCTTTCAATAATGATAAAGATGGACGTTTTCGTGAAAGTTCGAACTCTACATTTGGATCGATTCGATGGCCGACAACTAATCTAATATCCGCATAACTTGTATCCTTGAAGAAACTATCGTGTATCATATGTATTTCTCGTGCTAAACCTTTGAGTCTTGCCTCGTGTGTAACATGTACAAAGAGATTGTTTTTGAATTTATTATTATTTCGTTTTACTGTTGCCTCCATGCTGTTTGTATTTCTTTGTGTAACAATTTGAGTATTTTGTATAAGATGAACAGCAGCTGCACTCGTAGCAAGTTGCGTTTGTTTAGCCGTCGGTTGAGTGGATAATTTTTGACGTAATGCAAAAAGTTGACTTTCATTAGTAATCATGGGTATAAATGGCGAAGAAGATGATGACATATACTCAGCAAAGAATTTTTGGAATTGTTGGTTAATATAATTGGATGGATATCTAAAAGAAATTGATGATGTAATAGATCAAAAAATAAAAAAAAAAAAAAAGATGATTTACCTATTGTATAAGAACATTAAACGAATGGCACGCCGTTCATTATTAAATACTTCAAATGATGATGAATATCGTACAGCTCTAGTGAGAGTCGTATGAATCACATTTCGAAATACATGTCGTGGATGATCGGATAAAAATGATACGACTGTTGGTTGAGATGAAGGTTTATGATAACAATTCGTACTTTTTCTTTTGTTTTCAATCGATTATGCTGAGTGTGTCTCGCTTCGTTCACAAATAAGATCACTTCAATACATCTTTAATATTTTATCAGATGACAAACAATAGTTTTCCTCATCCTCATTCTATGTCTGCTTTCAAATGTTTAAAAGAATATCATATTTTCTAGAAATATTTATTCG